GAGGCGGAGGCCAGCCTGGTTTACATAGTGAGTTCCAGGACAACTGGGGCTACAGGGAGACCCTTTCTCAAAAAGACCAAAAAAAAAAAAAATTAAGTGCCGATGATGACCTGAACTGCCCTTCCTGTGTGTGACCCTGCATGCAGCCACCTGTAGAACTCCTCCCTTACATGGGATCCTGCAGTTCCCAGGGAGATATGGCTGAGTCTTTGGAAGGAGCAGAATTGAGCAGGGGCTGACTTTGCACCCTGAGTTTGAGGTTTGTGTCACCTCCATTGACACTGAAGGCTGGCTGCTCTGGAGGGTGACACATCTAGGGTTGCCGTGCTATGGCGTCCCCTAGATGCAGCAGGCTGAAGACTGGAGACCCAGGGCGGGGCAGCTGCTTTAACAGCAGGCAGGAATGTGGACTTGTGAGGCCTCTACCAGACAGAGAAAGTCATAAACAGTACAGACAGAAAGGTGGCTTGGCTCTCAGGGTCTGCTTTGTCATGCAATATAAAAGGGAGGAACTCTACCTCCCCCTTCCTCCAGTGATCCTTTAATCTTTTAGCCTGACCTTTTCACTTGTTTCCAAACAGAAGCCTGGGTAACACCCTCAGCTAATCATACTGTTTCTGTGAATTGACTTGCAGAAAAGTAGCATGTTTGTCTGAAAAGAAACTGCAGGTATGACCCAGGAGGTCCCAGGTCCTGGAGACTTCCAAAGGAGCAAGGGGATTTTCCTACCACTGTCTCATTGTAATCTGTTGTATCCCAAAATTAATGCATTTCCTTCCACCATTTTCTGACTTCCAGTTTTTCACTAGAGTGGCATGAACCTTAAATTCAAATAACAAGGACTTCCAACCTTGCTTCCTCTCCCCCGTTTAGCACCTCAGCCTGTGGACCTCCCAGAGAGCACCCCCACCACACACATCTGATGAACCTGGATGCCACCAGTCACTGTGGTGATCACCCTTAATAGAGAGATTAGAGAACACACGCTAAGACCACAAGACTGTCTGGCTCCTTCCTGTCTGTCCAGCGTTATCTAAGGCAAGAGCAGAGGTCTGGCTGGCCTGGGCTGCAAGGACCACAGGTACTCAGCCCCAGTACTGACGCAAGCTTCCACACCTTCCACAGCCTTTGCAGGTACAAACTGGACCTTACAGACCTCTTGGTGGAAGGATTAGACTCATCCCAAACAAAGGAGAGTCCCTCCAGTGCCACGGTGGTAGTTTGAAAGAGAATGTCCCCTATAGGCTCTAAGTATTTGAATATTTGGCCCCAGCTGTTTGTGAAGGTTTAAGAGGTAAGGCCTTGGGGCTAGAGAGATGGCTCAGTGATTAAGAGCTCTGGCTGCTCTTGCAGAGGACCCAGGTTCAATTCCTAGCACCACATGGAGGCTAACAACCATCTGTAACTCCAGTTCCAGGGGATCTGACACCCTCTTCTGATTTTCATGGGCATTGCATGACATGGGTGCACTTACATACATGTAGGTAATACATTCATACACATAAAATATTAAAAAAGGGTAAGGCCTTGCTAGAGGACATATGTCCCTGGGGGAGGGCTTTGAAAGTATATAGCCTTGGCCACTTCCAGTTAGGCTCTCTCTGTGCTTCCTGTGCACACTTGAAGATGTGAGCACTCAGCTTTCTGCTCCCAGCTGCCTCCTGCCTTGCTTCCCCGCCATGATGATCTCTTATCCCTCTGAACCATAAGCCAAATAGACTTCCATCTATAAGTTGCCTTGGTCATGATGTTTTATCACAGCAACAGAAATGTCACTAATACAGTGTCTCACAGCTGTAAAGGTTGTACCTGTTGGAAGAAAGGTTGAGAGAGCCCTGCTCTAAACTCCCAAGGATGGAGGTCTCGCTTTTACTTAGACAGACCTATGACTGAGTCCGACCATAGTCTTGTGCGTTCTGTGGACTTAGATCAGGCCATGCTAGGGGTATATCCTGGTCTTTTAAACTGGTTGCCTTCCAGGAGACCCAGCTTTCTGGGGAAAGGAAGGCTTGAAACTGCCCCACTCTGGCTGCCTTCCATACTTGGCCTAGAACAGGACAGCTACAAGGCTTTTTGGCACAGAGCAGAAGCCCAAAAATTCTTTGCTGATTGATTGCATGATGTATGAGGTCGACAGACTCCCCTTAGTTTGACAGGCTCCAGATGCAAATGGAAGTGTCCTCTAGTCCTGGTCAGTAAGCCAGAGTGGCCAAGCAGCGTTGTATAACACTGACCAGTCCCAAGGGGTGATTTTGAAATAACTTGTAGGGCTGAGTGTATGCAGTGTGGCTGAATGAAGAGCCCACCGACATCACGGCTGTTTCAAAACGACAGCAGCCAGCTGTTAAAAGAAACATGCCAAAAGCCATGTATGAAGAAATACTTTAATAGCTCAAAGTCATACTGCTCCCAGTCCTGAAGAGGTTCCTAAAAGAGGCAACTTTGGCCGTCTCAGAAGCCAGCGTTCACCCAACTGTGGTCTCTGTACATGAACTTCCTCCAGGTGCTCACCTGGAAGAAAGTGTAAACAGGCCCGGGACCACGACTCCTGGGGACCTTCCTCTTATTGCATCACGTCAACTACATTAGTTGGACAACTCGGGTTAAAGGAAGAGATAAATGTTGACTGTCTATGCAGGAACAGCCCAAGCTGGCAAGAAAAAGCACGTTGCATACATAGGATACAGAGGGCGGAGCTTCGGCCTACGCACCTGCAACATTACATTTGTTTTGCCTGCAAACTATCAAAAAGGATTCTGTCAGCTGGGGTGTTTCCACTGAACAAATAAAATGGTGGTCAAAAGTCCTGGGTGTCCTGTGCCACCAGCCCAGAGTCCTCATGTGTCATCCACTGGAGAGTCTTTGAGGGAAACATGAAGTCCAGCTCCTGCCTCTGTCTATGGGTCTATTTCTTCAGGAATCACTGTAATCATAATGTCTTCATTGCCTCTGCGGACAACCATGTTCAGGGTATTTTCTTTTTTAATGACATCGCTGACGTCATTGGCAGAGACCACTGACTGTCCATTGATGCTGATGATGACATCATTTTCCTTGAGACCGCCACTACAACACAAAGGGAAACATGCTGGTGACGTTTCCATTCCTCCCCATCATCAAGAGAGATGCAGCTTAGAACCAAAAAACTCGGAGTGATGAACTTGGTAGAAAATTACTCCAACCAGAGTAGGTGGCATTTCCTGTTTAGATTTTAAATTTTATTTATTATTTTTATTTTACTTATATGAATGCATTGCCTGCATGTGCATGTATGTAGGTGCACCAGTGTCATGCAGTGCCCACAGAGGTCAAAAGAGAGCACTGGATGCCCTGGAACTGGAGTTGTGGACAGTTGGTAGCCACCATGTGGGTGCTGGGAATCAAACCCGGATCCTCTGCAAAAGCAACCAGTGCTCTTAACTGCTGAGCCATCTCTCCAGCCCCTCCTGTTTAGATTTTTAAACCAAATCATCAGTAACAGCCACTGCAGAAATGCCTATAGTATTTGTGTGCATCCCCAGAGGGGACAAGGACATGCCAGGGACTCTCTGCCAGGTACAGTGACCACAGCTAACTTGCTCACAAAGGTGCTGCAATTCAGAAAGTGACTCCTCCAAGAATGGTAGACCACTTCCATTCAAAGATGATCCCCTTGGTGCTGCAGTGGAAACAGCTCGTACGTGACTATGTCACCATGCCACTTGTCCTAACACAGGAGTCTGCCAACATTTTCCACAAAGGACCAGATGGAAAATAGCTTAGGCTTTAGAGTATGTGGTCTCTGTCTTAGCTATTCGATTCTGCTGTGGCAGCACAAAAACTGGCCCAGACAAAATGACATCTTGTCTGGGGACGGAGCTATGCTCCAATAAAACATGTGTGCACCCTGGCATTTGCATTTCATAGAATTTGCAATATCACGAAATGGGGTTGTCTTAGAATTTTTTGTCAAGCATGTCAAAATGCAAAATCTATCTATCTGCAGCCCACAGGCTATCCAAAAGCAGGCAGCAGGCTAGGTCTCATTCCACACTGTTCTCTGGGTATGATGTCAGTAACAGGTAACAAGTTTACGTTTTGGCTAAGCAGCTACTTGCACTATTTTGCTACTATTTGGGTCATTTTTCTTGCAGTGTTGACAAGTGCGGCTTAATTAATTAATCACAAGTCCAGCTACAGAAAGCTCTGGAAGGGATGGATTCTGAGCCTTCGGATACAACTCCACAATACCCTCTCTGCAGCCAAGCTTCCCTAGGACTCCTGACAAGCCTGCTCACGCTCTTCCCATCTGAGGGACCCTAACAAAACAAGGCTTTCCCAAGACAACAAACACCCTTCTGTGGACAAGCTCTGAGTCCAAGTGGGCTAAGGAGGTCTGGCTGACAGGGAAGTGACAAGGGGCGTCCAACCATATTTGTCAAGGGTAAAAATAATGATCTGAGGAAATACAAGAAAGAACACTGCTTCCTGCCTCACTGCCCCAGCAACCGCGTGGATCTTAGGAAAGGGGGAAACACGTCTCACTCACGCTTCTGCCGGAGTGTCAGGAATTACTTCGATGATATATGCTCCGGAGAGGACATCTGGGAAGTCTCGGTGACGGTCCTTCAGCTCTTTGGCCTTGCTGTTCAGGGGAAACAACCCATGTCAACATTCAGCATCTACAGCCTTCCTGTGACAACACCCAGCTCTCACTAAGTTCCCTTCATATTCCAGAGCTCAAGCATTCTGTTTCTACGGAGGTGGTGGGGGGCACGGCATGCATACCGTGGCTTGCGTGTAGCAGTCAGAGAACAACCTCGAATGTGGATCCTCACCTCCCACCGTGTGTGAGACAGGTTCTCATTTGCCACTGCACACACCAGGCTAGCTGGCTTCTCATCTCTGCCGCCAAACTTGCCACAGAAGCACGGGGATCACAGACATGCCCTTGCATATCTGGCTTTATGTGGCTCCTAGGTCTTCAGCCCCTCACGCTTATATGACGAACACTTTACCCCCCTAGCCATCTCCCCAGTCCCTGATTCTACTTAAAAATGGTCTGCCTACTAGTGTTAGTGTCCTATATAATAGTAGAAAAGTCCTTGAACTGCTGTTATTTTTTGCAAATTTGTTAATAACCACAACTATGGAAGAATTACAGCACTATGGCTGGCCCGGCTTGCCGCTACAGCTCTGACCCTTCCTAGCTGTGTTACCCTGGAAGTTGCTTAACTTCTCTGTACCTTCCTTTCCTTAGCTGCACAACTGAGCATCAGTACGCTGTGACATGGGCCGTTATGAGGATCAGATGAGGTCAGCTAGGTAAGGTTCCCACCCAGTGCCTGATGACCATGTAGCCTGGGTGCACAGCAGGAACACCTGCACTGTTATCCTCATCCTGAAGGGGAGGGTGTTGAGGACCCGGGGATGGGGATGGTGAGTCAAGAAGCAGGGGAGTGCGGGAGGGGGGACAGCACAGGAAGGCAGCAACCCCACGGTCCACGCACTTTCCCTATACTTCCACTTCGCCTGCTTCCGAAGACAAACAAGTGAAGTGATTTTGAAGCAGGCTGTCCCATGTGGAATGCTAGGAAAGTTACCACTGTTCGTAACCTGTACTGGATGTCTTTGTCTTACTATTTTGACAACTGGTTGATATTTATCATGCTGTAGCAATGTGACTATCCAACACACTCTGCTCTTGAGCTGCTCAAACCACAAGTTCAGCCGTCCTGAGTCTGTTCCCTGTATCTCATCTCAGTTCTCTCTCCAGGGTGTCAGGAGCCTGGCAACCCCAGGCAGCAACTTCCACACTCTGGAAAACAAGTCCATCAGTCATCAGTGCCCCACGGCAGGGCCTGCCCTGGCATTCCTGCAGCCACACCCCACACTGCAGCATGCAGGGGAGGCGGGTGCTCTGGGCTGGGGCAGGCACTCCCGGAATGTGCATTTCAACAGAACAAGGGGCGAAAGGCAGGCATGAGTGAGCCAGCCCTCTACTGTTCAGGCCTGCCTTTAGAGAGGACAGAGTCTTCCAGATGGTCAGAATGTAAAAACAAAGACATCCAGGCCCACGACCCCTTCTACTCCTCAGTGTGAATTACTTTTTGGCAGAAACTAAGATGTCTGAAGGAAACAAGGTTCTCTTCAAGGGTGCCCTTGAGAGCCTTGGGAAACTCAGGTTTATGTAAATGTAACACAGACAACTATGCATCCTGCTTACCCACCTGGATGTGAGCGACATCATTCGGATCCCAATGTACTTCTTCTTGGTGACAGCTTTTCCTATTGTGACAATAAAGAAACAGATCAGCCCATTTGGCAAGAGTGTGGAGACACAGGAGCTAGGGGGTCTGATGTTCCAGTTTGCAGCCTAAGATCAGGGACATAGGGGGGGCACCCCAAGACTGTGGTTCAGTCCTATTCTGAACCCTGACCTACTGCAGGACCTTAAGAATGTCCTAACATTTCAGCTAATGGCCAAAAACCTAGGCGTGACCCCCTGTTCCTAACTGCTTCAGCTGACCTCTGGTGCTCCCCCGGGCAGACTCCACCTCCTACAGGCATCTAGACTAGGATCTTCTTTGCTCTGTCTCAACAGCCGCTACCCTGGTCTGGCCCCAGCATCTCTCCAAGTCTGATGACATATTCACTTTAGATTCTTGTAGGAGCTGGCTTGACTAGTCCTAGGGACTGTCACCTTCCCCTTTCCTAAGTCTCCAAGGGACAGCTAAGCCTCAGGACTGAAACTGCAGAGCCCCCCAAGATGCCTGGACCTTGGTTACCTTTAGCCTGTCGGTCGTGGGACTCTGTCAGGAACTTTTTGATCTTATCAGATGGTATTGCAAAGGAGATACCTGCTGTCACTTTCAGTGTGTTGATTCCAATCACCTCACCATCCTGAAAAGCAAGGTGGATATATGGCTGAATCCACAGCAGTTAGAGGCAAGTGTGCACTGGAAGGGAACAGAGGATCTGTAGGAAAGAAGTCTTTGAAATGTGTTGCCAGGTGTGATGGCTCACACCTATAATTCTAACATTCAGGAGGCTGAAGTAGGATTGGTGTGAGTTCCAGGCCAGCCTAAGACACAACTTGAGATCCTGTCTGTAAAAAGAAAAACGTTTTCGAGGAACATGCTGACCTTGATTGATCATCACACACTACAGATAGATAGATCATCACACTGTAATCTTCAGATTTGTACAATTGAAATCATAATTAATAAAAAATAAGTCTGGGCTGGGGAGGTGGCTCAGCTGTTAAAGTGGGTGTTTGCCATGTAAGCGTGAGGACTGGGAGTTAGGATCCTCAAAACTCACGTAAATGCTAGGTGTGTGCGGCAGCCTAAAATTCCAGCCTCGGAAAGCAGAGATGGGACCCCCCAGAGCAAGCTGGCTAGAGAGGCCAGCTGTGTTCACTGGCTCTGGGTTCAACTGAGAGACCTGCCTCAATGAATAAGGTGGAAAGGCAAATAAAGAAGATTCCCAACATCAACTCTAACTTCCATAGGCATATGTACACATGTGCACAGCCCTTCTGCCACACACATGTGGCCACATACAAATGCTCATACACCCACGGGCACACCACGCAAAGACACATGAAGAAACGAAATAAGTCTGTGGGCTATGTCAGAGAATGAGGGGGGCTAGCAGAGAGGCCTGGGGGTCATGAGGGAGGAAATATAAGGATACTTGGGCAGCACTGGCCACACTCAGCTTTAGAAGGACTGATAGACACTCCAGGCAGGACTCAGTGGTCACTTTGCTCCACACACAGATAATTTCAAAATCCACAGTGTTTCTCTATTCACAGGAAGGATGTTTCCAAAACTTCTAAGTCGGCTATGGACCGTTCTCCTTTTCCCAAGGACACTGAGGTGACTACAGATGTTGGGTTGAGCCTGGGCTGGCAGGCCTGACTCCCAGAGACTGGGTCTAAGAGCAGCAAGTGAGGACATGGCTCTTCCCTGAGATCTGTTTGTGCTAATATTGTGCCAAGAAAAAGGATCTTAGCAATTTTCATTATAAATCGTTCCTGGTATAGTTCCCATGTACCAGTCCCTGACACCAAGGGACCCTGCAGGAGGCACTGCCACCCAGGGCCTTGGTACAGATGGCCTCGATTACATCCTCTGGTAAACAACCCCGAGCTGCTCTCTAGCTCTGACATTCTATGACTTGAAGTCTTCAATTTTATGCTGAAGTATTAAGTCTAAACTGAATGAGATCTTTGTGAACAAGTCAGTGGCTCCCCCTTCGGCCCACAAGCCTTCTGGAAGGGTTTCTGTATAGGGGCGAGTCAGGCCAGCTCATGTCCGCTTGGCAACCCTGAAGACTTGCTCTAGACATACTTTTCTGTGGCAGGCAGCACTGTGGGGACCTTCAGCATAACGCTACTGCTCTTTCTGCCTGGATTGAACCTGAGTCCATCCTATCTGCTCATGACCCGAAACACAAGTGTGTCCTCTGGCCTTACTCCTTCCATGAAATGTTGGTAGGTAAGACGAAAAGATACAGTACATTCATAGAGCTCACTTTAAAGTCATTACATAACGTGCTCTGGCAAGCCCAAGTTGAAACAGCACACACAGGTGGAAAAGAACGCGGCAGAGGTTTTGAAAGGCCTTACCAGGTTTACCAATGGGCCGCCGGAGTTTCCATACTGAAATTAAACAGAAAGGGAAAGTTAGGCCTGTGTCATAACGTGATCTAAGCTGTATCTTTACCCAGTAGCTTTCACATCGCTGTCATAGAATGCCTGCCGTAGCTCTTCCCCAAGATTTGTTTCTTCCGGCCTAATATTTTGCTGAGAAAAAGGGCCTTAACAGTTTTCAGAAAGCTTGGGATATGCCATAAATGGGAATTTATTTTTTAGTTCGCTATGACCACCCAAAGAGCATCTGAACGCCACTTCCTCCTCCCAGGACAAGGCTGGCTTCCCACCTGCTCTGGAATTATTCAAATCCGAACAGCCCCACAGGGAGGCCATCGCACCCCTGCTAGGGCTGAAATCCACATGGCTTACTTTAGTTCCAGGACTTATGCAGATTGCAAGGTTTGCAAATAAAACCTGTAAGACAGTATGACCACAAACACACACAGTGCTTCCTAAGTGCCAACCATGAAGGAGAAAGAACATTGCTCTTGAGAAACACCAGTTCTGTAGGGAAGAAACTGAGATGTAGAAAGGCTCAAGTCGGCCCTGTATGAGATGGTGTGGAAGCTCAGGAGGAAGCCACATGGAACAGTGTTGGCTTATGTTGGGTGGGACTGTGGCCAAGGGCAGTGGTCACAAGCTCATGCCTCCCAAACTCACACCTTGAGATTCCAAACCTAACGTCCCTCCTGCCAGAAAGGAGAGGGGGCTCCGCACATCCTCAGTGTGCCTGAGGGGTTTGTTGGGCACAGGAACTACCAACCACTGGGCTAGACTGAGAACCTTTCTCAATGATCCCTTTACAAATCCAAGGCCGCCTTTGCAGGAGTGGGTGATTGCTAACAGAGTACTGGCAGCCCTCTGTTTACCCTGCCTTAGGGATTCCAAAGGAACCCCTTTAATAACACCTTGAAGATAATGATTTGATCCTTGTTTCCCACACCTAGCTTCCGCTGGCAGAAACCTAGACAGACCCCAGAAGGTTGAGAAAGGGATAAAGCATGATGGCTCACATTGATGATGGCATCTGTCTGGATGTAGTCCATGTCCGAGTTCCGGAGCCCCAGCTCTTTGCCACCTCGCTGGGTGGTGCTGACGATCCCAGTGGTGACAGTGTTTTGGAGGGAAAAGGGACTTCCGATGGCGACCACAAACTCTCCCGGCCGCAGCTCGGAGGAGCGGCCAAGCAGCAGGACTGGCAGTTTCCCCTACAACCACAAGGGTAGACATTGCTGCATTTCAGCTTAAGAAGTTGGATAATACAAGATACAGAACACAGAGCAGTGATGAGCCACTTGAAAACACCCAGCCTTGGGGGCCAAGCTCAGGGCTGACCCTCCTCTCCTGGGGCTAAGCACCTGCCATAATTTGCACATCATATGCCATTAGGGAACCAGGAAACGGGGATCTCATGCCAAGGAAAACGGGGGTGGGGGGCAGTGACAGGCCATTTCTGGGTCTTACCACATCTTTGAACTATCAGCACAGAGTTGCTCTGAAACCTTCAGGCAGAGGCTAGGTGGAAATGACCTGGATTTAGGATGGTCTCAGAGTTGTTCTCTAGACCATGGGAGGGATCCTGAGCCCTTGTGCCTTGGGGTTACGCAATGGACTATGCCCCTACTTTCCACAGGCATGCCCCTCCTGAGTCCTGGAAGGTAGGGAACCCTGAAGGCAGAGACTCACTCTGACTTCCTCATGCACCCCAATACTGATGCAGAGGGGCCAGCAGCATCCAGGACCCAGCTGAAGGGCTGTCTCTCCAGCCTGCCCTGGGATGGTTCCCATCACCACATCTGCTCCCAGTCTAGGCAGGCTGAGAAATCAGTCAAAAAAGTCCTATCTCCTTTATCTTCTGGAGGCTGAGCAGAGTTGGGAGCCCCAAACAACTCACAACAAGATGAGACTCACTCAAGCCCATGGGGACACAGAGGCCGGGGAAATGGCTGGAGGTTGCCTGTTCCACCTGCAAAGCACCAGGCCCTGTTTCCTTCCTCCCATATGGCCCAGTAATCTCCAGAGTTCTGCAGGCATTGCTCACGGAGTCCAATGTGGACCAAGTCCAAATGCCAAAAGCTGGTCCAGGTTGCAGGCTAAGAGAAACTCAAGGGTCTTTGCATTTGCTTACTGTGAAAAAGTGATAAACTGAAAGGGCCCAGTGCGGGTGAAGGTGGGGTGGGTAGAAACCAATGCATTCCCTCTACAAGAAGAGGGACAGGCATTGATAGTGAGCTGGGGCAATCACTGCACTCATTTAACAAAGACATGGGGCTCCAGGGCCCTGGGTACCTTCAGACAAAGCAGTGATTTAACCCTGGGACTGAGACTTCCCACAGATTCTCCTCAGACACACACACAGATATACACTCCCATGGTGAAGAGGCAGAATTTAAAGCTCACAGGCACCATACAGTCCTAGAGAGTGCCATCTGTGCTCAAAAGCACAGGCTGAGGCCAGGATGCCAAAATGAAATTCTGCATGAGCTTACAATCATGCAGACCTGCCATCTCCTCCTCTGGGAAGTGGGACTAAGACAGTCCACAAATCTCATTAGTCTACTGTGAGAATCAAGTGAATTGAGAGTCTAAACAGCTCTCTGAAAACAGCCTGCCTGACTAGCATGTCAACTAAGCATCAGCTATTTACCAGTATTCAAGTCCTTGAAAATTCAGTGAGGGATTTCATCAGCTATGCTATCACAGGCCAGTGTATGTCACCTTGAGAGACATAGTTTCACCCTGGCTATGACCATTTCCCCTTGAGGTCACCTGAGGCCAGAGCCTATGGCATCCCCTACACAGACACACTCAGCATCCAATGGCATGCAGCAAGCTCAGCACGACCTGTTTACCCTGGGTTGGTGCCAGCAGTCCCTGCCAGTAAGCTTTGCCAGGAATGACCTCAGCAATCACGGTGGGGTGGGGCAGAGTCGGGCTGCTGATGTGTGCTTGGCCACACCGGGAGAGGCCCACCAGGACACCACCATTCCTTTGGAGTTCAGGGCTGGCTTGAAGTCCTGTCTTTGAGGCAGGGCTGGCTGGGAAGGACAGGCAGGAGGGGCAGCCAGCGCCTGAAGGAGGTCAGCCTAGCCACCCAAGGAAGCAGAGAAGCAGGCAGGAAGCCAAACTCAGTCTTGGACCGGTGAGCCCAGCCACCTAGTGGGGACCTTTATCAGCAGTTAGCTTGTATCACTCCCCAGTCACTGTCTCCACCTGCAGAGAGAGCCAGGGGCACACTCCTAGTCCTATGGCCCTTAAACAGCAGGAACCTAACGACAACTCTGTCCAGTACTTCTATTCCAAAGTCCGAGCTCAGGCCTAGAGGATGCTGGGAAGGAGACAAAGGCTTTGGGGAAAGTTATATAGACAAAAGGCAGGGATCTCTACAACGGCAGGAGCTAGAGGCCTGTATACTATGAGGATGCGTCCGGAGCACTCCAAGGACGTCCCAAGCACAAATGCAGCAGAGTCATCCACTGTCACCAAGGTGACCATGGGCTTAGACAAGGGGGACACCAAGGATGTGAACTCATAGGGTTTCCCCAGGAACCAACTATGGATGCCCGAGTGACCATCCAGTCACACCTGCCCACAATCATGTCTCCCTAAGCACATGTTATAGATATGAAGGGTGATCATAAAGACAGAACCAAGCAAGCAGACACATACACATATAGCAGGGTGAACAAAGGGATCTTATCACACAAACCTTCAATTTATGTGAAAGGAACAAGCCTTTCCCTACCAGATGACAAAGCATTTCCAAGGTAATCTAAGGACTTGGGGCAGATCCCCCTACTTTATAGATCTGGAAACCAAGGCTCAAGATGCAGGAGCTTCTCCCAGTCACAGTGGCCTAACTAAGCAAGAGAACGGGCTCCCAGACTTGGACCTGCATCCCCATCAGGTAGGAGTTCTAATTGCTGGACTTCTAATTATAGGCAGAAATCCCTATAAGGGAGTGAGGTGGTGCCGAGATGGCGGCCAGGCCAAATTTACAGCACTGTGAGGTCAAGCTGCTTTGGGGGCCCTTTTGGCCCTTGCTCCCTGCAGGTGCCGGCTGGTTGTGAGCCTCGGGCTCTTCAGCCTTATTCAGATCCAAGCAGGGCTCATTCTCAGACATAATCCTCACCCCAGGCCCATCTGGTCAGCAGCCATTCCTCCACTGGCCAAATTCCTGTTCAGTAATTGAGCTTTTAACTCCATCTCTGTCTAGACAGCCACACTCCTGAGGTGTTGGGGGAGGTGAATGTACACATGGCCAGAAGGCACAGCACATCACAGTGTAGCCTTGACCTGCAGGCGCCTTGCCACACTTCAGGGTCCCTGCTCTGTGTCCACAGGCTGCTTCCCAGGCCGCCCACATCAAAGCTGTCTCCAGGCTCCCGTCTGAGGATCCCTTTGAAGCAGCACCAGCCACAGGCCATCCAAGAGGCTGGGCCCTCTGCTCACATCCAGTTCACACATCTCTCCATCCTCACAGCTCCCCTAAGAAGTAAACAGGACAAGCATCCATCTTCCTTGCCAGTGGCAACAGCCAAGGGGAAGAACGGGACCCGTTGCTGTGGTTGGTATTACCACTGAGGAAAAATGAAATGCAACCTGGGGACATACAAAATCATGAGGTGGGAAAGCAGAGCTTTGAGATGCCATGTTATAAAGTCAAGGAACCCTTGGTCTCTACCAGGAGGACCAGCAGCACCCAAGTCCCTCTAGGATGAGGGACATTGCACACTGAGTCCCTTACACTGTCACTCTCACTAGGCTGAAGGGAAGCAGGATCTGGGAAGCAGGCAGACAAAATGGTGTATCTAGGAGGGAGGTGTACAATCACCACATCTGCAGGGGACTGCCTGATGCTGAATGGTGTCATCCGGGTCAAAAGAGAGCGACTGCAAGAAAGCAAGAGTTCTTGGGGGTCAGGGATATGGCTCAGCAAGTTAGCTGGATAACCTGAGTTAGATGCCCAGAAACATAAAATGCCAGATGTGGTGGTGTGTGTGTCTGTAATCCCAGCTCTTACTGTAAAATGGGAAAGACAGAGACAGGAGGATCAGCCGGCAGCTTACAGACCTGTTTGCCTGGAATACGTGCTACAGAGACAGAAACCAAGAGACTGATTTCTATATGCCTGCATACCTCCCCATGCCACACACAAATAAGCTTTAAAAAAAAGAAAGCGAAACCCTCTAGTACCCAAGTTGTATAGGTAGAGAAAATGTTCAAGGGACGTTGTCAGAGATCTTGGACATGGACTCTGGGCTTACCATGTCTATGTGAATTCCTACATACCAGCCACAGGCTGGTTGCTAATTGTAAAGTAGGTCTAATGCCAAAGCTTGGTCCACAGCATGGTTCTAGAGGGCCCTTCCCATCTGGTTAAATTGTGGCTACCACCAAGCAGGCCCAGGAGCTTTGCTTTCAAAACACATCGCCTACCTGTAGAGAGCAGCCTCCCCCATGCCTGGCACAAGACCTCAAGGACCAAAGCATCCAGCCCAGCTCTCTAAGCTTCTCTTCTGATGGGCAGAGAAGCAGACAAACCACCAGGACCCAAGAGTAAAGAACAGAGTCCACCTTCCATCTTCATGGGCAGCTAAGCCTAGACTCTCCCATAACGCTAAATATAAATCAATGTGATTTGTGTCTATCAGTCTTACTTATGAGTAACAGAAAACCCAACTCAAAATGGATCTAGAAGCTACATGCTCACAGGCAAGAAGGTGCCAGGCTTGTTCTCATGATCAAAGAAAGGCACTACCACTCCAGACATCACATAAAGACAAGACAGTGCCCAGGGGACACATGACTTCTCGGAATAGGAAAGAGCCACAGGTTCAGCAGGTAAAGGCACTTGCCACCAAGCCTGACACCCTGAGTTTGATCCCCATGATCCCTAGAACAGAAAGAGAACTAACTCCCACGAGTTGTCTTCTGATTCCACACACATGCCATGGCATGCATACTCTCTCACACTCACACTCTCTCAATAAATAAATAAATAATAATAAATAATAAATAAATAAATAAATAAATGCAAATTTAAAAATAAAGAAGAGCAAAAAATAGTCAAAGTCACCTCATGGGTCATAAGGAGCATCCAAGCATCAGCTCTCCCTAGACCCCTAGGACAAGGGGGCAGAGTTGAAAGCACATTTACTAGTTCTGCCAGCAAGAACAAATCCCTCCCAGCACCCGAGCAGAGGGA